GAGCAAATATATAAATAGTTCAAATTACTCACATATGTTTAACACTAATCTAACTTTAAAATACTGAAGAGTGTTAAGTAAAAATATAAAGGGCAACTCATGTTTAGCATGCTACTGACTATGCAAAAAATAAGAAAACATATTGCTGGTAAATTGATACAATCAATATCTCTGGAAAGATACAGAATAAACTGGTGACATAAGTTCAATGCAGGCAAACCGGGTAGCTGGGGATTGGGATGGGATGGAGACTTTTCAATGTTCACCCTATATCTTTTGAATTCTAAACCATGAAATCACATTACATATTCAAATAATTAATTAAATGACTCTGAAAAGCACGAAAACAAATCAGAAAGGCAGCCCAACTCACTAGGTCCTCACGCGTTCGGAGCACATTATTTCAGTGTCCTTATCAGTTCTTCTGACCCCAGCAGTGTTCACACACCAGCACGTGGCGGTGCCGTTGCACTGCTTGGCTTTAAAGAGCCCTTTCTCGTCACAGTCGGGGTCGTAAAGCCCGTCATTGTTCTGGAGAGCCCCCTCAGGCCTCTTTCTTCTCCCAGACTTGGAAGTTGTCATTTCTGCCTTCATCACCAAACATTTGGAAGCCACTAAAAAGAAACCTTAATGTCAGATTGAAAAATAACTGCAGTTTTATGTTTACAGGGAAAAAAAAAAAATTAATTTAATGCAAAACTCCCAAGGGCCAAAGACAATTATAATAAATTTGTGTGCTCCCACAACCCACTTTCTGAAGTTTCAGACGTCAGATGATTTCAACAAAGTTAAATAGATAACATGATTTAGATGTGAGCCAGTAAAATTCTTCCCAACTCAACACGCATCGATTAAAGAACCAAAGCAAAGTTAAAAGACAACGAAGACATCCTACTCACATTTTGAGCAAATGACGGTATTTTGTGTACCGACTGAAGTACACTGGCATTGACCATTGCTGTTCACAGTGCAGTTTGCGGTCAGCTTGTAGGTCTCACAGAGACATTCTAGGGGAAAAAGAAATCCACTTTAACCAAAAATATCCTCCAAAGTCTCCTTAAAACCAAACAATAGTTAGCTTAACTAGTGAAGAAT